AAACTTTTCTCAAGTACTTTATAAAAGGATCTTAGAAATCTAGCCTAAATGATTGTAGTTGCAGACGATAGAAAAGATTTTCTGTGAAGATAGTAAGTAGGGTAACTGACAGCTTTTAAGAAACCCTTGCTAAATTCAGCCCCCTAAAGTGTTGAATTCCTTCTGCTCACAGCCTATCACTGAGCACGTGAACTGACCCTAGTCCATCTTTTGTAGCCATAATGTTTGAAGATGGTCTCAAATAACCAAACTTACTTGGCCCATTTGCCCACTAACTGCATTATTCTTTATTATAATTCAACTGTGAAGATATAATGTAAAGTTTATGTATTGTGTACTGAATTTCACTTAAGAAAATATTTGTATTAAAACTTCATATTGTATATCCTATCAGAAGAAAATACTAAGTGGCTATCCTTTGGATTTGCAGAATACATTCCATAATGACCACATAATTCAGCATTGACTATGGTTTAGCTGTAGACAAAGTGGGGACGGCAAAGAAATATTTATAGACTTTATCCTTACAAAGGTTTTTGTCTGTTAAGGGAGAGTAGATATTTATCAAAATGCTATGATAAAGGTAGAATACAAGAAGAACTAGAAGATAGATCTTTTACCGAGTTTTCATTGTTTTCTCCCTCCTTATCAGTGTATGTTGCAATATATAATAAATACACTCATCATGGGAAGTGGTGCGCGTGTGCATTGTATATGAAGACTGAATGGACTGCATGTGTAAATGTCTCAACTGCACAGGCTCTAGCCTGAATGACGATGTCTAACCCACATAGTGCATGCAAATCACAAAGTATTTCCTTGTGTCAGTGTGTTAAGGAATGTAGAGGTCAGAGGCATTCCTGGAATTCCGTGGTTTATTAATGCACAGAAGCTTTTCGAATGGGCAGATGAAGTCAGAATTGATCCAAATGACCCAGAATATTCTGATTTAATGGAATTTATTATGGTAAGTCACAGAAAAGAGCAATACTGTAAATACGTTCTATTTCCTAAGCTCCACCTCTCTACTCCTCCATAGTTTGCTGCGTACATTTTTAGACACCCAAGGACATGTAAAAATAGTCTGGTGGACAGATGCAGTTTTTAGCTTACAGTATTATAAAGGCAATTAGATATTCAGCAATTGAAATAATTCCTCCTTTGGGCCTGATGGACTCCCCCGGTATTCGTGCACAGCACGTCCAGCCAGCGAATCCTCCAGCTAGCGTCTGTTGTCCGTTTGTCGCGGGCCAGCAGGTACTGCAGATGTCAGTGTGACTTCCTGGTGCACTCTTTCCCTCGGGCTGCATGGTCTGCTCACCTGCGGTGCTTCCTGTAACCAAGGGAACTGGGCTGTGCGGCACGCACCGGCTGTCCTCATGCGCTTACCCACGTTGCGGCATTACCAGAAGGGCTCCCACTGTGCCACTCCAATGCGCTTTGCAAGTCTCATAAATGTCTTCATATGCACTGTCTTAGATATGCACTGTGTTCTGACCCTCCTGTCAACTAATTTTCTGTTTATCTGTCTGTCTTTCTCTTTCTTTCTTTTTTCTTCCTTCCTTCCTTTCTTCACTCCTTCCTTTCTTTCTAATAATCTGTTATGATACTATTCACTTTCTGCTATTCGTTCATGTGGCTTAACATTCCTTTTTATTTTTGGTACCCAGGACTGAATAGGGACTTTGTGCTTGCCAGGCAGGCGCTTATGCTGCTGAGCTATATCCCTGGCCCCTTATCTTTCCTTATACAACTACAGCTAATAATATTTTTCTCTCTGATGGCAACCAGCTGTATTCTTTGCATTTACTATGCGCTTGTTTGCATTTGATAAATGAAGGCAACTCATAAATTAGATTGCAGAAATTAAGCTTTCCTTAACTGGAGCAAATGGTTACAGTACAGAAATACTGATCTTTCCTCGGGTCTTCGGGCAACCAGATAAAAAATTTACCTTTGAACTCTGTGTAGAACACTATTTTCATTTCCCATGTAGGTCATGCCCGAGCGGATGTCGGAAAGCCTTGTAACAGGACTGGGCACTTCCGCAGGTCCTGGCCCTCTGCAGACCCAATTGCTCTGTTCCTACTTGTATTATGAATCTTGTATCTCACAGTGGGGATGCTTAAAAATACTTCTTATTTTAAAAAATTACTATCTCAAGATTTCACATTATTGTGTTTACAGTATATAAGACAAAAAGGTCAGACTATCCCACAGTATTTCCGTCTTGAACAACTACAAGATGAATTTAACTTTGTTTCTGAGGAAGAAATGAAAAAGAGCAAACGTTTTCAGCTTCTGCAACTTAGAAACGCGGGTCAGTTAGAGAGTTTCCTCCTGCAGCAAGTGCCCCTCTATGATGGAGAGATTCCAGATTTAGTCTTTCAGGTACTGATCTCTATTTGAATATGCTTTCTTATATGACAAAGTTAATACTTTGATGCTTTAAATCTTAGGGTTTTTAAAATTATTTTTAACTAGTATCTGGAGACAGATCACCCTAACCCCATTATGGCCGTTTTTTAAGCATCAAGAAGGAACAAATCTCCCATATTTTGAAAAAAAATTGCTTAGCTTGGCTTACCATTTAGTATTTGACAATTTAGTACCAAAATCTTTGAAGTATGTTTTAAATTTACTTCATTGTTGTATTTTTGTTATTATGTTGCATTATATTTGGTTATTTTATTAATTTAGTAGCAACTCTTGGGGCTAGAGAAAAAAACTATTGCAATTAATTTACACAATGATTATAGGGTGCATCTCAATTTCAGAATTTTTAAAATATGTGAAAATGAAAGAAAAACAAGTCTTGTCTCGCGGTGTGCCACGCCTGGCTGCCGAGACCTGGCGAGAGCTGCGGCACAATCTCATCCCAGTTCTGCCTTTAATAATTCCATTTGCTGCCGGGGGGATCTATGCCACGAGGCACCAAGTGCCACCAATCGGAGCTTTTCCTCCCACTTCAAGAGAACCCACTGTTAATCACCAGCATGCCACCAGTTTTACACTAGAGGAATTAAAGGAAGTGGTTTTTGTACAAATAACTAGTTGAAGTAATTCTAGTACTTGAAGTTACTAAGATTTAGTCCGAGAGTATAGGAATTAGTTTTCCATCTCTGAAACCAATATCTATGCAGTAGAATTACCACTAGAGAGCGATATCAGCTAATTTATTTATTTTTATTTTTATTTATTTTCATTTTATGTATTTGGTACAGGGTCTCACTATGCAGCTTGGACTCATAGTGATCCTCCTGTTTTCAGGCTCCCCAGCGCTGGGATTTCAGGTGTGTGCCACCAGGTCTGGACTGACCCAGGCGCAGCATGCAGGACAGGGGATCGAACCCTGGTCCCTGTGCTTGCCAAAGCAGGCACTTAGTCTACTTAGCTGTCTTGCTGGCCCTTGATTTCAGCTAATTTAGATAAAGGTATAAGAGCCTGATGTCCACTCAGCCCCGTTAAGGACACACAACCTACGCAGGGCTCATCATCTGTGAGACACAAATTGCAGTGGGAGTGTGCTCACTCTCAGTCAGGCGGGATTCTGGCATTCGTCAGTAAGGCTCAGAGGTGAAGAGAGAAACGCACGGTGACTTTTCTCCCACCTGGTCCTAACCAGGCCGGAACCCGCGTAGCTTCTGAGATCAAAAGAGATTGGAAGCGTTCGTGCAAAGTGGCTTCTTTCATCTCATTTTTGATCCACAAATTTTTTCTCAACCACTATTCTATTTTAAAAATGAATAGACCTCATTCTAGAAACAAGTAGACTATAGTCACACATGTTTTATCTAGTTCTTGGAGAGTCAGACACTATGCCAGTGCCAGAGTACGGCCATTGTCATCTACATGTGAGCTGAAGTGAGTCATGGCATCTTGCTGTCAGTACACTGTATTTGAACAGTATATCGTATTTGATTTCGGTACATCATCTGAGGGTGAGACTTGCATAAATTCTAAATTAATTCTCTGTTTAGGATCATGAAAGTCAGGTAGAAATGGATATGTCTATGTCGAATGTCAATTCTATTACTGCACAAAGGATTAATGCCATCAATTTTCTGGAAAAGGTAAGGGAAATGACACCGTATTACGAAGTTATTTGTCATTGCTTTTATGCAAACTGATCTGCTGGACACATAGCAATACTCCTTTCCCTGATAATCAGGTGGACAACTGGGAGTCGGACTCTCTTTCTGAACACTGAGTTTTCTAGTCTCTTAAGATTTATTTTTCAGCTGAGGCGATATCTCAGTGGCATAAGTACCTGCCTGGCAAGTGCAAGGTCCTGAGTTTGATCCCCAGTACCAAAAAAAGACCTACTTTTCAGATGTAGGTTACATCATTGTCCATGAAGTCATTAATAAAGTACATTCTAACTTCTGGTCAGACATGAATGTTACACACCTCACAAAGTTCACTTTTTTTTTTGTATTTTAGGGATGGGTCTACAGGGTGTTTAGGGTCTAACTACTAGATCGGACTTGTAGTGATCCGCCTGTTTACAGCCTCCCATGTTCTGGGATTACAGGCATGTGCCATCACATCCAGTCTCAATCACCCTCTCAGGGCGCCCCAGGGGCGGGGCCAGCACAGCAGGCCTGGGGATCGAACCCCTGGCCTGCTGTGCCTGCTTGCAGCCCCTTTAATCTGCTGAGCTATTTGGCCGGCCCTCCAAAGTTCACTTTAAGCCCTCCATTATCACTGGCTGGTGCTTCGCCCTACCCTTGCTGCTCATTCTGCTTCACCAGTTAGAGACATAAAAGAAAAGTTGGGATGTATTTTAATAATCATGAAAAGTAAAGACCTGACCTTGCTCACAAGAAAAGAGAGCTCATATCCCCCTTACCTTTCTCTTTTTTATGTACGGGGAAGCCGAAAAGGAAGGAGAGCAGAGAATCAGTAAGAGGGCAAGAGAAAAGTGATGCTAAAGGTGCTTAAAATTTATTTAGAAATCCAGGGAAGGCTGTTTAAGAAACTTTTGTAGTTAGATTTCAACTCCTATAAAGACTTACTTGCTATCTTAGGCTAGTTTAGTACTAAGACATTCTGAGTTTAGATTCTCATAGGAGACGTCTGATAAGAGCAACTGTTGCTAGTGTGTCAGAGGTGAAATCTGCATAAAAATAAAGCAAGAAGTAAAGAGTTCTGTGGCAGGTGACATGTAATATAAGTTGTTCAAGAACGTTCATGGAAGGGTAATACTTCAAAAATGAGCTACAGCTTGTTTAGACTTAAAGGAGGTAAAGGAGTTACTCCTTGTCGTGGAGTTTTGGAAGGGGAAAAAAAACCTACTGAGATAACGAATCCACATGTAAAAACTCTGAGGGAAACACTCCTGGCGGAGGGAGAAGCAGCAGAGATCCCAGTCTGGAGGACGCCGAGTGAGACAGGAAAAGAGCGAACGGTCGTGAGGCCAGAGGAGGCTGGCCCACTTCTAGGGGAACAATTTGCTACCCATGTGGAAGGCTAATTTTCACGACCTAGTTACGTTTTTCCCATTCTCACAACCCCATTTTTCGCTCTGATTCAAGCAGGCTGTTAGATGCTCTATACTACATCCAGAAGGACTTGCAGCGTGTCAGAAAGCAAAGAACACTTGCCTGATGCTTTGCTTTCTGATATTGGATCTCAAAGACTAACGCATTATGAAGAAAAAGAGAAAGGAGAAAAGAGGAATTTTCTCTGATTAAAAAGGCTATTTTCATAGATCTTAGAAGAGTCAGGATCTGTTGCCAGGGCTTAGAGAGTTGGCTTTGCTCACATTTCTCCGTCTGCCCTACAGTGTACCTGGCCACAAACACTCTTTGTCAAAGGGGCTGAATGAAGTCTAGCCTGAGCACTTACTTCCCGGCCCAAATGACAGAGTGAGGGTTTAAGGTCAGCATGGGACTGACTCAAAGGAAATACAGAACTGTGGTCAGATTTCTTGGAGTTTGAAGGTCAAGATTTGTGTCCATTACCAGTGGCTTGTGCAGAAATTAGTTTACAAGACACTCATCTCCTTTGTTTTTGTTTTTTGTTTTTGTATTTAGGACAGGGTCTGTAGGGTCTACAGGGTCTCACTAGGTAGATCTGACTCATAGTGATTTTCCTGTTTTCAGCCTCCCAAGTGCCGGGATTACAGCTGGGCACCACCATGCCCAGTCTCACTCGCCCTCTCAGCATGCCCCACGGGCGAGGCCGGCACAGCCCACCAGGGATCGAACCCCCGCCACTGCGCTCTGCCAAAGCAGGTGCTTTAGTCCGCTGAGCTCTCAGGCTAGCCTTCATTCAGCCCCTTTGACAAAGAGTGTTTGTGGCCAGGTACACTGTAGGGCAGACGGAGAAATGTGAGCAAAGAAAATGAGATGAGAGTAAACAGACATAGAAAGAAAAAAGTGGAAAGAGTGAATTTGCTTTGGTGTGGTAGTGTCAGTTGTGAATGATTTCATGGTAAAACAGAATCATACTTCACTCATTTAAACCCCTTCTATTCATTGCCTGCAAAATCTAGGAGTAAAATATAATGATGCCAGAAGTATTATAAGTACTTAATCTTAAAAATAAATGATTTTCTTTCAATTCTGTGGATTTTTTTTTAGGAAAGAAGGTCAATAATGAAAAGAATCATCAAAATTAGCAAATTTAACTTGTCAGACATTGTGGCTGATTATGAAGAAATTGTATCTTCAAGGTAATATAAAAAAATCAAATGAGAAATATAACATTTTAAACCTCCTTTGAAATCCTTCGAGTTCTTTATTTTTATATTAAGTTACCTGTCAAAAGATGCAGTTTCAGATTATAAAATAAGATATACTTAAAATATATTTGACAATTTTGAATTGACATTTCAGAATGTGTACATGATGTTTTTAAAATTTAGTATTATAAGTAAGTTTTTCATCTTTTTACTGATGGTTTTTAGAAAAGAAGAAAGAAAATATCTTAGTCCCAAACTGTTTTGCCCTCAGATTTTCTTATTGTGAGACTGCTACTTGGTAAGCTATTGCTTGTCGTCCGAACCCTGTAATCTCCTCCGGGCAAATTTGACAATCCTGAGTTGTGTGGGGCACCGAGGCCTACAGCGAGCAACGGGGGGGCTTTCGCCGAAGCAGTACGGCTCATGTCGTGTCCACGTGTGAACCTTAAGCCTGTGAACAGGAGCAGGTCTGCCGAGTCGCGGGAAGCGTCCCGGAGGATGCGCGCAAATGCTTAATACTGCCAGCGAAGGTTGACTGGGCCAGGATGCCGGAATCTGTTGGCTTGAGGTTTAGTCCTTGGAGAAAAGGGGTGTGACTGCATAATTCTGTGGGTTTTGTTACCATAGTTGACAGTATGTGTAAATTAACTCTGGTTTTAGAGCCGTGGAGACAGAATCTTCAGTCACTTACAAGAGAAAGAGTACTGAAAAAATGAGTAATTTCCTGAAAGAACATCATGTTTTGTGACTTTAGCTTTCATCCTTGTCTTGTGCTGGAGCACGTGCCCAAAGAACCAGAGTGGCACGTTGTCGCCCAAGATGAAGAAGTGCAGCATTTCTTCCTTTTTGTGAAAAAAAAAAAATTCCTTCCTGGGTATAAATTAACTGTTTATATCATAATTAAAATAATATGATTCAGAATAATGTCCTCATTGGTAATCAAGCTACACCATTCTGCTCATTTCTTTCTTCTGTAGCCAGCTGACACACGCAATTTGTAAGTTTGTTGAACCACGAAGAAAGTTAAAACCTCGGAGGAAAGAAAGGAAAAGAGTCACAGCACAGACTATTTCTGATGGAGATATTAAAATTCTTATAAGAATATTGAGGGCCTATAATATTCCTACCAGGAAAACAACAGTCAATAGGTAGGGATTGAATACACTCCAATTTTTAGAATTGCATGTGATTTATCTTAAATTCCTTGATCTTATTTGTTAAGCTTTCCACTTTATTAATGTTTTACACACTTAAAGGTAATAAAAGTTAAATAGTCATGGCTGTTGTTAGTGCCTTGTGTTAGTTTGTAAAAGTCTGAGATTCCAAAATAATTTTAAGGTGTAGAATTTGTCACATGCTCAGCTTCCCAAGCTATAGCAAATAAATTCTTTCTGTCACTATTTTTATTGTGACAAAATTCTGCTGTGACAGACTTCTGAAGCTTCTGCTGCCAACCACTCTATTGCATGCCACTGTCCCCTGTCCACAGTGGAAGGAGAGGCTAGAAAAAGTAGGGGGGACACCAAGTTTGTGTTAGGAAACACCCTAGAAAAGCTGTGAGACAGATGGGCATGGTTCATGAAGCCGGCATTACTGCAGTTGCGACCTGTTACCTTCTGGACTTGTAGGTGACTTTTGGCCTCGTAGGATTGTGCTTATGCCTTTGGTGTGTGCTTGCTGGGGCTGATGTCCTTCTCTGGATGAGGACATGAGGGCTTCAGGGGACATCAGCAGTCGATATTAAGTGCTCATGTACATTCAGTGTGTGCTACATATTTGTTATCTTACATATTTAGTGTTATATATGAATGATATATTATAAATATTTGGTCACAAAGTGCCTCAGGGCTATCTGGTAGCCTTTTCTATACATGTTTAACACATATGTACTCTTCTTGCATTATTTTATGCTCTCTTCCACTCAAAAGTTGTACACAAAAAAAACCCCAAAATTTTCCCTATAGGATATTAGTCTGTATTTAAAATACAAGTTTGGTCTGTGTTTTACAAACCACAAGCTTATTCATTAATAGAATCGAATATTCTCATAACACATGAATATTTCAAAGACTCTTTTATCATATAAGGACATACAAAATCATTTTCTATGGTCATTTACAAAAGACTAATGTAAAAAAGTAAGATGGATATAGCCTGAAATTATCATTTGCTTTATTTATTTCCCTTTGCTGAATAGAAGTGAAGGTCTTATCATAGCCTGGATCTACTGCATAGTTCAGTTTTGGGGCCACTTTTCCAGAGTACTAAGGATTGAATATTTAGTTCTAACCATTGATGTAAGATATGACAAAAACTCTAAGGTCCAAGGTGACAGAATTGTATATTTACATAAGCATAGAAAAATAATGACACCTGCCTACTAAAGCTAATATTAAAATTAATTAAAGTGTAGGTCTCTATATTGTTTTCCTTGAAGAGTCTTGGACATGCCTGCTTATTTGAAATCATCTATGCCTTGCTTCAGACATAAAGCATCAACCAGATCAATAAGCTCAGATATCTTAAATGAGGTAAGTACTTAACATGTCAATAAAGAACAGTATTGATTACGTTGCTCTAAATTGCCATATCTGCTCACTGGTCTCTCTATAACTATTTTCTTTAGATTCCAGTTTCCTTTCTACAACTTAGAAGTCTCCCTCATACAATGTAACTCTTAACCATTCATTCGCTCCTGTCAGGGTCTACACAAGAGCGTACAAGCTCCTTAGCATGAATTCTGTTCTGGCTCTTGACCGACAAGCAGCCCTATCTCTCTCCTCCTCCTGGCCATGCAGACACTGCTACAAGGCCTACACCAGTCATTTCTTTGCCACGAATGGCCTCCATACAGTTCCATATTCTTGACAATCCAATCTCTACTCAACAGGTCAAAGCCAGAGCCTAAGCAACAACTTCTCTATGACGGCCTCTTCATCTGGAAACTCACTCATTCTTGCTCCTGTGTAACACTTTGACTAGAATATGTTTCTCTTGGTATTTTTCTTGTATTTCATTGCACACTTTTACCTGCTTATGTTCTCCTGGCAAACTTTATTTTTTTTATTTTTTTTTATTATTTATTTTTATTTGAGAGAGAGAGAGAGAGAGAGAGAGAGAGAGAGTGTGGTGTGTGTGTGTGTGGCCAGCTCAGCCCACCAGGGGGCGGGCTGGCTGGCATGTGGTGCTGGGGGATTGAACCGCGGTCCCTGATGCTTTGCCAAGCTTGTTCTAAGTAGGTGCTTTAGACCACTGAGCCATCTCTCCAGCCCCGCTGGCAAACTTTAAAATCCTTAAGGGTCAGTACTATTTGCCTTTGACTCCTAGTAAAGTACCTGATACAAATAGATGTTTATTAAATTAATAAATGAATAACGGATATTTAGAAAACTGAAAATATTAAGCCATCTAGTTACCAAGAAATTCCCCATCCTTCTACCCTTATCAACTGCATAAAATATTGTAAGAATCTAATTAATGTTTATGTTTTTCAGGATACTGTACACCCTTTCATAGAAGTTTCTTTTCAACACACTGTGTATCATACCAACACAGAAAGTGGATCTCACCCCTGCTGGAATGAAGAAATTAAAGTAGATTTTACGTAAGTTGGAATCCATATTTCTTTAAAAATGTATTTATTTTCTTGGGGCTGGGGAGATGGCTCAGTAGAATAAGTACTTCCCTGGCAAACACAAGGGTCTGAGTTCAATCCCCGGTTCCGCAAAAAAAAAAAAAAAGTATTTATTTTCTTGAACCATTTATTGAAAATAATGCCTGAAATAGGTTTTACTTTTAAGCTTTAAAATTATGAAGTATTAAACCCACATAAGCTTTTATATGTGTAATATATATGTACATGTGAATTCTGAAGGCAAATAGTGAAACGGATACCTACGTACCTAATACCTAGCTTAAAGATAGAGTATGACCAATATTTCTGAAGGCTCTCTATACTGTTACCTAATTGTATTGCTTTTCTTTCCTCCCAGAAGTATGAGCCATTAATTTTTATTTGTTATTTTCAGTATTACTTCATAGTCATTTGTCCCCATTATTTACTTAATCATGTTTTTTTGACTTCATGCAAATTGAGCCATGCTAATGTATTTTTTGCAATCTTGTTCTTTATTCTTCTTTTGAGAGAATCATCCATGGTCACAATTATACTTTAGCTGTTTGCTCTTATCTGAATGTATCTACTAAGATCCAAATCTGAGAAGCTTGTACGCAGAGCAGCTGTGTTGGAAAGTGGGGCCTAACGGGGTTTTAGACCAAGAAGGAATCCACCCTTAAAAATGGATTTGTGCTGTTTATTGCATTTATTTATTTTTTTTGCGGTACTGGGGATTGAACTCAGGACTCTGCACTTGCCAGGCAAGCGCTTACTCTACTGGACTATCTCCCCAGGCCCTGTGCTGTTTAAAAATGGCTTGAAATCAAGGTTGACAGAAGGCAAAGTAATGACTATGTAGAAAGCTCTCCACAACACAGCATAGTCAAGATTGCAGATGTTTAACAAAAAGGCAGAATCTTACAAGCTCTCACACAATACTGTCTGTTAAGGCTTGTGTCTACTTGTCCTCCCAAAGCCTAATGCAGTCGGGGGGCGGCTTCCGGAGTCCGTGATTGATTCTAGTTCCAATGCTGGGACTGCAGGTGTGAGGGCCACACCACGGCCCTGGGGTGAATGTGCATTACAATATAAGGAGGGGAGAGAGGCTCACTAGCTGCCTGGGCTGCTGCCACTCCCCTTGTTCTTCCTGCTTTGCTGCCTCCATGAACTGCTGCCCCTGCCAAGTGCCACTCTCCTTGGAGCCATCCACATATAGACTGAAACTTTCACTAACTGTGAGCTAAATAAACCTTTCCTTCCTTAATTTGGGGTGTCAGGTATTCGTCCCAGCAATGAAAGAAGAGTAAAAACATCACTTATACAGGTCAACCTGTTAGGGTTACAGCATGTTTAACACAAACTTTAAAGGTCAGAAAAACTGTAAGTGTTTCAAGCCCTAAAAAAACCAAGACTAATATATTCCAACCTAGACTAATATATTCTGCAAAACTATCTCTCAAAATGGAAAGAGAAATACAAACATCCTTGATAAAGAACATTTTAAGAGCTTTATGAACACTAAACAGGGCTGCAAGATAGCTCAGCAGACTAAGCGCCTGCTTAGGCAAGTACCAAGACAGGGGTTCCATCCCCAGGACCACATGCTGTGCTGGCCCTGCCCCTGGATGTGCTGAGCTGGGCACCAAGACCAGGCATAGTGGTGCACACCTGTAATGCCAGTGCTGGGGAGGCTGAAAACGGCAGGATCACTGTGAGGCCGAGCTACATAGTGAGACCTTTTACCAAATTTAAAGAAAAAGAAAAAAACACTAAACAGCATTCCAAAATTACTCAAGAATATCCTAGACAGAGAAAACAAAGTCAGAAAGTTAAATGGAATGAATACATCAAGCAAGACGAGTAGCTTAACAAAAAAAGAAAAAATAAAGGAGTCAACAACAGAAAAGGAACATAATCACAGGAATAAGTCAATACTTTTTCAGTAAGAACTTGGAATGTGAATCACTCCAGCTCCCCAATTAAAAGACATTGACTTGCAACCTGGATCAAATAACATAATTCAACAGCTTATTGTATTCAAAGAACTCAACAATCCAAAAAAGAAATGTGTAGATTTAAAACCAGAGCGTGGAAAACAATATTCCATACACCAGCGCTTCCAATGGCAAGAAGAAGCCAATTTTATTGTTATACAAGGCAAACTTTCAGCTGAAACTGTAGGCAAAAATAAGTGAAATAAAATAAACTTTTAAAAAACTGTAGGCAAAGAAAGTCACTACGCCCTAGTTATGAGAACAGTTTAGCAGGAAGAGGTAACGACAATCAGTGCACCAAGGCTAGGGGCGCCTGCCTTCATGAAGCACTGCTGGACACAGAAAGATCAAAGGAGCGTCAACACAATGACAGAGACAGAACCTAAGGAATACACAGTTGGAATGGGGGGAGGAGAAGAGGTAAGGAAGAAGAGGAAGGAGATGACATCATGCCTGTATAGACACAGAATAGCTAAGATGATTTTAGCTACCAGAGCGTGGAAACAATTTACTAATTACTATTAGGGGTTCCATCCCCAGGAATGACTATGAAGAAAGCTCTCCACAACACAGCATAGTCAAGATTGTAGATGTTTAACAAAAAGGCAGAATCAGTTACTAATTTCTATCAGTTTTTGAAGGTAGTACTTAATTAGTAACTTAATCAGTTACTTAATTAGTGACTTAATCAGTACTTAATTAGTAACTTAGTTACTAATTTCTATCAGTTTTTGAAGGTAGTACTTAATGCTTAAAATTTTTATTTTGACCAGTTTTATATGCTTGTCGCTGTAATCTGAGCAACTACAATGAAGACAGCAATGTGTAATGTAACAAGCACTGTTGAATACGTATCATCTTACTTTTTTATTTTTTTTAGTAAGGAGTCTACAGGGTCTCACTACACACATCAGACTTGTACTGATCCTCCTGCTTTCACCTCCCAAGCACTGCGATTACAGGTGCGCGCCACCACATCCTGCCTCAGTTGCCTCTCAGCGCACCCCTGGCACAGCACACATGGGATCAAGTCTGGTCCCTGCATCCGCCTAAGAAGGCACTTTCATCTGCTGAGCTATCTGGCCAGCCCTTTTATTTTAAAATTGTACTTTATTTCTAATGTGTTACCTATTATTTTTCTATTCTCTTACAATAAGTTAAAAACAAAAAATAAATATATACAAAGTGTGCTATCCTATTACAACAGAATATACATTATCTTTGGAATTATAAAGAACTTTCTTCCAAAATAAACACATACTAGTCCACAAAGCTTGCTTAAAAAACTACAAAAGAATTGAAATCATCACAAGTACAGGAGCACCTTGGTTCATGAACTTAATTCTTCCCAGGATTCTGGCTGCAAACCGAACTAGACAAGAGCCAAAGCAATCTTCCCCAGAAGGCCGACACTGAACCTAATTATTGAATGTGATACAGGTTCACTGTTGATCTTTGGGGGAAAATCTATTTGATTCTGTCCAATTCAGTTTGTGACCAGAACTGTGGAAAGAACTGCGTTTGGGGACAGAGGTACCACTGTGCACCACCAGTTCATAGCACGCTGATACTAGATTACAAAAGGAACCACCCCAGTTTTACAACTTGACATTAAATGACACACTCCTGTAACATGATGAGCAATAGAAGAAAGCAAGAAAGAACATTTGAAATTGCTAGAATCAAACAATAATGTCAGCATAGTGCATCAGAACACATGGGGCTTACTGAAAGCAGTTCTGAAAGGGAAACTTACTGCTGTGAGAG